TTTTTTTTTTTTTTTCTTTTCTTTTCATTCGAACCACCGAGAAATGAGAAGCGAATGAGAGGTTTGCATCTGTATTATTCGTGCTGTACGCGCGAGAGAGATGTAACTTACGAAGGAGATTCCTATCTCCGCAAGGCACGTTGGCTGGAATATCACAGAGTTCCTTCTTGGGGTTGTCATCCCTGAAGACGAGGCCATCCTTGCACAGTTTCTCCTCCGGCTTGCCATCCACGCAGGCGTAATAAAGATCGCACTGCTCGGGATCCGGGAAGAAACCCTTTGGCTCGGGACATCGGAACTGCCCTCTGCTCAGAGTCACCGCACTCACCAACAAAAACACCGACAACGCTCGAACGAACATGCTTCCTTTTTCTTTCAATCGCCTTTGTCCTCGGCTGAACAAACCTAAACCCTGGAATGGACTTTTAATAAGCGGCAAGAAAGGCCCCAAACACGCCGTGTCTCTCCTCCTTTTATTCTTCTTCCTCTTTTTCTTCTTCTCCTCCTCTTCTTTCTATTCCGATCCGTCGAATACTACTCGTAGCAACGTGGATATGACGTGAGTGCACACCTGAAACTGGTCCTGATTCGCCTGTCGCACCACCTCTGCATCCTTGCTTGCATTTCACAACCCCCCACCCCACCCCCTTTCGCCGAAACTTCTTTCTCGCTTGCTCCGCTAACGCCGCTTTTCTTCGATACCTAAACGCCTTCTCGCCTAAACGCGCCTGATCCCACCTTATTTGCCGCGCCTTCTCGCTTTCTGTTTCTGTATCGGTCTCCCGAAGGACTTCTTCTTATTTCTCCAGCGCCCATCACGTTCATCATATTTGCCTATCTGCTACTCTAGCATTCCTACCCGCTTACTGTAGCTCACTTCCGGAATACTGTAGCTCACTTCCGGGTAGCATGCGATCTCATTCCATCCCTCCATTCCTGTCAGTTGCGTCAAAGAGTCATAGACTTGATTATTCTTATTCTTAAACCTAACCTAAATATAACTTAAACTTAAAGCTAACCTAATTTAAGTTACCATTGTCAATCAGAAGCGAATAATATCGGGTACAGCTTTAACATCTTTCAGTTCAAGAACTTCCATTGCACATGTACGTCATTTGTTTCTCCTTATGCTTTCTTTTAACTTGAACCTAACCTAAAGCTCATCAAAACAGATCATCTCGCTTCGCCTTCTTCCAGATTGTTTACCGGCCCTATGGAAGATTTGCTTTGTTATTTGTATCTGTTTACTATTGCACCAGTGGCCATCAGTATCTCGACATTTTGGTAACAGAGATTTTCAACACGTGTTACACGTTTTGAAAACATCAACGTTCCATCGTAACGTTCCACTGCACGAAAAATAAAATCAACGTAAATTCTCTTGTAGTAATTGAATTACAACAAAAGCCACCGTGCAATTTAATTAATTTACCTCTCAGTACTTCCTTGAACTTGTTCGACAGTCATGAGAAATGAAATTTCTTTGTAGCAATTAAATTACAACCTGACTGTGAGATTATTAAAACGTTTACGTTTTTCACATTGTTATTTTCATATTCTATTACTTTCTTCAAACTCATGTCCCTGGACGATTGAGTTGAAAACCACTGAGAACAGAGACAGTTCACAGGTATTTAACTGCTAGATTTAAACCTGATAAATGATACTCAAAATGATGCTCAAGGTAGTAACTTCACTACACGTCGATAACTGTTTAATTTTAATTTTAATACTAAGCTAGAAATACTCAATCTTTAACCCATTCGCGTGGTCATTATGTATATTTTGTGGACAAAATGCACTCAGGCAATGCAACAAAATTGATTAAATGATATGGCAGTATGGTAGTAAAGAGAAAAGTGAAAAATATAACATGTTACTATTTATTAATAATAAGTTTTTCAAAAAAAACTTCTTTAGTAAACAAACAAAAGATTGTGTATATGTATGTATGTGTGTGTGTATTAATAGTTTATTTATGATACTTTTTGAAACATTCTGGAATGTGTAAAGCTATCAAACAAAGTTCACATTCCCAAGTAGTTTCACTCCTCTTTTTGTATTTCTTCTTTTTGTACTTTTCACTATTTAGCATCTGTGCTGCACATCTATTTGTCTCAACAGCTAACGCGTTCCAATAATCATCCGTCAATGTTAGATGGAATAAATCTATTACAGTGAGAT